AAAAAAAAAAAACAACTTGCCTCCCAGAACGTTTCTGACTTATTTAAACATTTTTCCAAAAAAGTATTTAGTTTTCATCTCCCTGTCTTAAGTCAGAAAACATTAACTTGCTCTGCTCCAGAGGCAGACAGGGGAGAACTGAAGCATTTGCAGCACTCGGTCACTTTATGGCTGCAGGCTTTAATAATAATAATGATAATGGATTGCATTTATCCCCAGCACCATCCGCCCCTCTGGCCAACACCAGTAGGTGGTAGGTGAAGTGTTTTGCCCAAGGACACAACGACCAAGACAGACAGAGCTGGGGATCAAACCGGCAACTTTCTGGTTACAAGATGAGCGTCCCAACCCCTTGAACCACGATCGCCCCGTCGCTTTAAAGGAAACCGTTTGGTTCACTTCCATCTGCAGTTTTATTCTGGAGTGTCACTGGGTAGCTCTGCATAATTCAATTCAAAATAATACTAATAACACCCGCCCTGTGGAGGGTCATTCTCTGTCTGAGACCAGCTACTCGAGCACCCTTACTTCCCTCTCTGATTGGCTGGCCTTTGTATGCAGAGGGTTTGTGCAGGAGGTGGGCGGAGCTTCTGTGCTCAGAGCTGCTGCTGTGGGTCTGAGATAACTGTATCAGGGTTCATTGCTCAGTGACGTAAAAAGCTGAATCATTTAGAGCATCCTAAAAAGCTAAACTGCTGGCTCACAAAAGAGACGTGTGCTTTGATCCAGTTTCACAGGAGCCTTTATGGCTGTGCCACTGTGTATGTGAGTCACTGTGGATATTTTTCAGTCATATTTACTGTCTTTACTGTTCAGGCCGTCTTCTCACAGTCAGAGGCATTGGAGGGAGATGGCAGCGCTGAGACACAGTACACTTACTACCCTGCCACCATCGCAGATGCCACCACTGGTACCATGGTAACCACCGTGCAGGCGTCTGACACGCTTCTGGGCCAGACCACGCCCACAGGTAATCACTGCGTATCCATCAGGCCTGGATGTTTGTGTGCTCTTCAAAAATACACTGTCACTGCTCTTAGTAAGCTCGTGTAAGACATCCATGAGTCAGAAGGCTGAAGAGGTCACATTCTTCGTCTTATCCATTATAAAATGTTTCTCATGTGCAATTACAAAGTAGAAAAATCCAAATCCTCACCTTATTTAAATCTACTGGCCACATTCTCACCATTTTTAGCACGTTTGATTTTCAGACCTCTCAGTCCCATCATGACCACTGGTTCATTTTACTCATGATTACATCATTGTTTTAGTGCGATTTATTCATGTACTACCCCCAGTGGTAGGTGGTCGACTGGTCTGCGCACAGTGCTATGGAACATGAATTTGTCCCCTTACCAGTTTTAGTTTTTGCATCTTTGTCACACGGAAATGTTTCGGATCATTAAACCAATTTTTATATTGGGGCAAAGATAACCAAAGTAAAAAAAAAAAAAAAAATTTTTAAAAGATGATTTAATTGTTTATTGGAAAAAACGATATCCAGACCATTCCCCCCTCTCTGAAAAAGTAACTGTCATCACGAATCAACCACAGTCAGACCTGCTCAGTCCAACTATCGAACAGAGCAGAACATGGTGCCACAATCTAAAGAAACAGCTGAGAAACAAAGTCACTGACGTCTGTCAGTCAGGAAGGAGTTATGAAGGCATTTCTAAGGATTTGGGAAATCCTTAGAAATGCCTTCATAACTCCTTCCTGTGAACACTGAGAGCCATCATCCATGGATGGAGAAAGCTATGCTTCCCAGGAGATGCTGGCTCTTCAGATCACCCCAAGAGTGACTCATCCAGGAGCTCACAAAAGACCCAGAAATCCACCTGAACAACTGCAGGCCTCACTTGTCTCAGTTAAGGTCAAAGTTCATGATTGAACAATAAAAAAGAGAGTGGGCAAAAACGGCCTGTGTGGGAGACAAAACAGTGCTGAGCAAAAAGGTCTGGATAGACTTTTCTCTTCATAAATGACATTGTCCTTTAGAAACTGCTTTTTGTATTTACTCTGGTTATTTTTGTCTAATATACAAAAATAGAATAAATCATGAAGAGGCGAGAACTTTTTCAGAGTGCTGCATATGCAGAGCGAGGCAGTGAGAGACACTGCGGACTTCTTTCATTTCCTGCTGAGCAGTACCAGTCCAATGGTCTTCACTCATAACTTCATTAACTTCCCCAAAGTTGAACAATCAGCATTTTGACATCCAGCACACACGTGAAACTTCCAGGGAGCAAAGATAACCAGACGCAGCAGTCACATCGTTTTCTGTTTGAAAAGCATGAATCTGGTTACACCGGTCCTCTGAATCTGGCTTTATTGATTTACAGGACAGCTTTATGTGATGATGTCACCACAGGAGGTTTTGACGGGGTCCAATCAAAGGACGATTGCACCTCGAACTCAGCCGTACATTGCGTAATTCCATCTCACGTCTCCAGAATTAGAGCACTTGATATTTAACTTCCCAGTTAGCTGAAGCAGCTCAGTATCTTTGTTGTTACATGTTTTCTAGGAAGCAGGACGCTCCACGGGCCTCCAGAGATGAGAAACGGCGAGCCCAGCACAACGAAGGTGAGCGCAGACATGCAGCGGGAGCTTGATCTGGCTGTTGTGACAGTGTAAATAAGCGAAATGTTTCACCGACAGTTGAGCGGAGGCGCCGGGACAAGATCAACAACTGGATCGTGCAGCTGTCAAAGGCCATTCCAGACTGTAACGTCGACTACACCAAGACGGGACAGGTGAGCGTTCAGGTACACAGTGGCTTCCAGCCCATTTGAGTAGACGCTGAAGCTTTATCGTAACTCCTGTTTCAGAGTAAAGGGGGGATCTTGTCCAAAGCCTGCGAGTACATAAAGGAGCTGCGACAGAGCAACCTGAAGCTTGGGGAGGACGTTGGCGTTCTGGATCGTCTAAGAGTTGACAACCAGCTACTGAGACAGGAGGTGTGTCTGCTTCAAGACTAAAGCTGCCCAGCGCCCCAGTAACTTGTAGCTGCTTTGTAACATTCACCTGAAGTTTGAACCAGGACTGCTTCCATTCCAACTGTATATAATACTTCATTTGATCAAACAGAATGGCAGGCTGCACTTTCTGAAAGGCTTTAAGACGACGTGAATACATCTAATTACTGCTCCATTTTCTCATGATTTATTAGTTTCCACTGTAACCCCTATCAAAATACAGTCGTCATAAAGTCATGGTGTTTTATTCCAGATGCAAGGGTAAGCCGTTTATTCATGCCTGCTGCATTTCTGCTGTGTACTTGCTCAGGTGGAAGACTGGAAGTCCAAGAATCAGATCCTGAGGAACCTCTTGCGACAGCACGGCATTGTGGGATCGTCCAGCACAGAGCCTCAGTGAGAACCCTGCAGTGATCAAACACGTGGGCCAAAGGAGTACTTGAAATGCTTTGGAGATACTTCATTTGTGATCAGTGTGCATGAAACAGGGGAAAGAAGTGAATATTGTCATTAATATTCAAATCCAACTTCTTTGCTAAATGACATCTTTAAATGTTGTTTTCTGAGCTTTTTACAGCATTCTTTTATCTACAGTACAATCATCATATTGATTTAGCGAAGCCCTCATTTAACGCCTCCCTGCACAAACATTATGATTGTTCATTATCGTTAGCCTCCAGTACAGTAAGCTCACTTTTCTTTCCTTTCTGTGTCCGTGTATCACACACACTCATTCATATGTTCACATTGTTTATCACTTTGATCAGTCGATGCTATGAGTTTGTCATCCAAGAGTCTGACTCTTTGCTTTGTATTTTTAATGTGTCATGAAGCCTCACTGGGGACATTTATTACATTGCAACAATGTAACTAACTAAATAAATTGGAGAGGGGGGGGCATTGCATAGTAGGTAGGTTATGTATGTCTTTATAATAAAAACAAATATTATGCTACATGTCACGAGCCGCTCTCAGCTGTGATTAATAAAGCTTATGAACTGGTTAAAAGACTTTAGAAAAGCCATTTCCTCTCTAAAGCTTTTATTTTGAAGGCCCCGCTCGGAAGTGGGCGTCTTTGTGGAAGCTAAGCACATAGCGCAGACATTCCCTACACACACCCTCAGTGTTTATAGGTTCCAGAGGAGCCCCGGGACCGGCTACGATGATCTGTGTCCTGCTGGTAGCCGGGCACGGCACCGTGTTAGAGGCCCAGATTAAGGTAAGTCGGTTCAACGTTGCAGCAGCAACAGTGCAAAGTTCACGTTAGTTGTGAAGCCGCCGAACTGCCCGAAACAAGCTGACACTTTGGCGCCGCTTGAACTCTGGCTAGTGTTCGTACGTCCCTTAGCATGTTTACGAAATATTAACCATGTAATGGGAAATCCGGCTGACAAACCAGCGCATGTTTTCAAAACGTCGTTTTCAACGACGTGTCTGCAGCCCCCCCTACAGGCCGTTGCGACGATAACATGGCAGGGTTTTTCTAAAGCGGCGGTGCTCGATAAAGTACTGATGGGACATTCAGCGTTTAAATATCGTCTTTACTATGAGAGACGCTAACAGAGATGGCTTATTTCACTAGTTTGGCCACTGCGTGTGTGCTGTCCACTACACGCCTGTAACTGGTAAGACTTTTCTGTCATAAGGTACAAACTTTTCTGCTCTTTCTTTTTTTCAGTGAAGTGTCATTTACATGAAAAATGTATTTTCAAGAGAGATTTTGCAAAGACTGCAGCAGAAATGGCAACAATACGAACACGACAGTTCATTATGGGATCAAAAAGGACTGGAGTGGTTTAATGCAGGTACAACAGTGCTGCTTACCAATGCAAGCAACAAAGCAGGACGTGAGCTGCGTCCAGTCCTTGTTTGGTCCTCAGGTATACAAGTCCACGTGATTCTTTTGAGCAGAGGGGGGCTCGTAGAAAATCTCTGTATTTCATGTGAAATAAATGAAAGGTGTAAAATAGTTCAGGTAGTGTGCAGCGCTGTTAGTGTAATCCAAGTTTTAGCTGCTTTCACAAAACCTGTGATGATAGAATTTGTTGAATTGGTTCCGTATCCACGTAAGCCACAGAGATGTTACCACAGCATAGCCCATGTTGTTGATGTGTTGCTACAAAGGTGATAATCAGGCCTATTGACTTAGCCATGTTTCATGCCGAATGGGGGGGCTGTTAGCAGGTTGTGGTTTTTGTGTAGTAAATCTTCCTTTTGCTGCCAGAATGATGAAACAGGCCTGTACAGCCACCTGAGCGGGGTACCTAAGGCCTTGCTTCCTGGAATTGGAGGAAAGAAGATCCTTGACTTTTGGTGGGAAACTGTCAACATGTGCGTGAGCGTGATCCACACGTGATCCGGAGAGCTTTCATGTTCCTCTGCATCTCACTGACGGTGTCTGTCTCTGTCTCCAGGCGCCAGCTGTTCACAGAGGTCTATCTGGTTACCAATGCTGATAAGTGAGTGGCAGTGATTGCACGGATTGGCTGGTGTTTGGAAACTTTGCCATAGTTTTGCTTTTCCTTCCACTCCTGTTCTCTGAACCCGACCAGGTACAAGCACTACGAGCGCTGGGCCACAGCTACCGACTTCCCTGTGGAAAATATCATAAATGACGGCAGTACTACGCTGGAGGATCGCCTCGGGGCCGTGGCTGACCTGGAGTTGGTCGTACGCAGCCGGAAGCTGCAGGACGACATTATGGTGGTATGATCGCTCTGTCCGTGGCTAATGGACTAAATAACACTGAACAATCCCGAGGCCTGCTATTCAGCGTTTCTTCTCTGTGTGAGCAGATTGCTGGAGACATGCTGTGTGCAGACCAAAACTTTGACATTGCTCAAGTTATTCGCTTCTTCAGGTCAAAGGTGAGATTTTCATAGTACAGGTAGATGCCATTTATCTTGTATGAACTGACACCAAGCCTTGTGTTTTCATGACAGACTGCATATAAAAGGCCGTCACAGTGATGGTACCTGTTGGTCGAGTGTGTGGTTATCATCTAACTGTAGCAGATGTTAAAGTTTTAACATTTAATGTAGTCTTTTGAGTGGACAGTGTGAACTTCTGTGAGGTATATGTTACGCCCCTAGTCTAGGCGTGTAGAGACGTACATAAGGTTGGAGGAGAGAGAGACAAATCCCCGTCCTGGTTCCCAAGCCAGACATCCAAAACCAGTTGTGAGTAAAAAAGGTGATTTTTATTACAGGTAATGAAGCATAGCTCCAGGGTGAACCCAGGCCAAAGTAATAAACAAAACCAAGTAAGTCCCACCAGAGAAAACTAACTAAACCCTAAGAAAGAAACAGAACAAACAAATGACAATACTAACCCTCGCTCCCTAACCCGGAAAACAGGAGAAAACTGTTTCAAAGAAAAGGCGGCTCACCCCTTCAGCCTAAGAGTGCCTAAGCACTAAGTTAACACACCAAGAGCGGCTCTCACAGATCACGCTCACACAAATACACAGTAACAGTTTAGGCTGGGAAACCAGGTCAGGACCGCGTCGGCTGTCAAGCTACTCGCTCGCCCCACTCTCCCTCTCTCTCTCGGGAGCTGTCAGAGCGGCTTTTTGAACGTGGTCACCTGTTCCATGGTCCAATCAGCTGCTCACTACTCTTCATTAGGGGAGGGACCTGTAAAGAGTCTTAAACACAGTAAAGAGACACAGAACAAAACAGCTCACACAGTATTCTTATGGCAACAGCCGTAACAGTATAGCAGTGGTGTGGTAGGAGATACTACTGTGGATCAGTATGGCCGACATTGTTTCTTTGACTGACATCAGCTGATATGATGGGTGATATTTATCTTGTGCCAAATGTGCAAAGTTGAAGTGATGAAGCACCTGTCAGCTGAAACAAAGGTGAGCACATTAAACCATATACATATTAAATCATATTGCTATTTCAGTGCACGCTAGAAGAAACATGGGAAATATGTTTGCTTGTGTTTTTTAAAATCATTTCACAGTGATATGGCTGCTGTCTTGTACAGCGCTGCTGTTACTTTCAACTATTTAAAGAGAAACAGCCTTCAATTATGTTATGAATGTTGCTGTTTGTCCACCAGGGGGCAGTCTGCCACTTCCCTGTTGGCAACAAGTAGCCTATTTTTAAACTTCATTATCAAATTATCTTCATAAGGACTCATAAATAACTCAACTTTAATGATATCTCTTTATGTTTTATGTGTTTTTAAAAAGATCACATTTAAAATAGTCACCTTTTTTAAATCACCAAATATTGGTATTGGTCATATAATCGTCTGTCAGTCCGATCACCGTGTTTGTTTAATGGTTTGTAACACTGACAGCACTCTGTGACTTTTGTTTTCATACAAATCAAACATTTGTCACAATGAGGTCATTTTTTTTAAAAAGCAAAGGAACAATGAATGCAGCACTGTAGCGTGGAGGTTAGTACGATCGCCTTACAGCAGGGGTGTCGAACTCCAGGCCTCACGGGCCGGTGTCCTCGATCCAACACAGCTCATTTAAATGTGTTGAAGTTCTCCAGAGGCCTGGTAATGAACCAGTCATTTGATTCAGGTGTGTTGACCCATGGTGATATCTAACACCTGTTGGACCCCGGCCCTCGAGGCCTGGAGTTCCCCACCCCTGCCTCACAGCAACAAGGTCCTGGGTTTGAATCCACTGTATGGGCGGGGCCTTTCTGTTTGGAGCTTGCATGTTTTCCTGTGTCTGTGGGTTCTCCCCGGGTACTCTGGCATCCTCCCACAGTCCAAAGACATGCAGTTAGTGCGGTTAACTGGTGATTGTGAATTTCCCATAAGTGTGAATGGTCATCTGTGTTAGCCCTGCGACAGACTGGTGATCTGTCTAGGGTGTATCCTGCCTCTCGCCTCTGTGGTAGCTGAGATAGGCTTCCCCTGTGACTCTGATAAAGATAAGTGGAAGAGATTGGATGGATGGGATGAATTCCACAGAAGGTTACACAGTCGTAAGTTGGTTATTAGCTATGATATGGGCTTAAGAGTTAACAGTTCGTAGCTTTTGTGCAGCAGTTTTGCTAATAAGCCCTTTTTGTGGATTAAGGGTGAATTATGTGTGCTAGCTCACCATGTTGTGTCTCCACTGCAGCCTGGTGAGCTGATCATATACTACGAGCTGGAAGAAGGAGAGAAGAGCAGCTCCAGAGGCATCATAGAGGTCTGCCATGATTCCCACAGGTGAGGTCGGTGCTGGAAACATTCCTTAGAAATACTGGTCCATGTTGACATGATAGCATCACACAGCAGAGTTGTTGGCTGCACAGCCAAGAAGCAAATCTTTTTGTTCGATCACAGTGAACTCCGTGTCCTGCTCAAAAAGCCAGTTTGAGATGATGTGAGCTTTGTTGTGTTATACTGTTGGAAGCAGCGATCAGACATAAATACACTGTGGTCATAAAGGGACATGATCGGAAACAGCACTATACATGATGTAGCCGCTACTGAAAATATCCCCCACACCCTAACAGCAGCACCACCTGCTTGAACTGACTGGACAACACAGGATGGATTCAAGCTTTCATTAAATTACACCAAACTGTGAGCCAACATCCAAATGTTGTGACACTCCTCAAGACCTGGGGTCCGTTCTTCGTACCTCGCTTACTACATCCAAGATCAAATCATCGCGCCAACTCTGAGCTCGCTATTCCGGTTCTCCGAACACACCTGTTGTTGATGATTAGTACAGCTGGATGAAGTAATGTGAGATCACTGGGTGGCTTAACAGGGGCTACGCATCGATAGTAGAAACATTGATCGGCAACCCTTTGATTGGTCGGCGAAAATGTCGAAGGAGCGCGCTCAGTATTTTTCGGCAGCAGAGCAAGAACTCTTGATTGAGGGATTTCAGGAGTTTCAGAGTTTAATTAAAACGCAAGGGAACACTGCAAAGGCTGCAAAAGCAAGGAGAGAGGGCTGGCAGAAAGTTGCTGACAAATTAAACTCGTAATTTAATAATAATAATAATAATGGATTGGATTTATATAGCGCTTTTCAAGGCACCCAAAGCGCTTTACAATGCCACTATTCATTCACTCTCACATTCACACACTGGTGGAGGCAGCTACGGTTGTAGCAACAGCTGGGCGATATATCGAGTTTTCCAGGCTGCCATATCGATATTTGGTATTAAATAGATTGGGTACTCAGCCGATATCTAAGCAGACTGACTGCCATTTGTCAGTGATGCTTCTGTCGCACTGCGCCTTGCCTAAACTGACCAAGCAGAACTAGTCCAACCCGTTGCAATTCTGGACCATTTGCTTGAGTCATTCTCTCTCTGCACATGACTTAGCAGCAAGTTAAGCTCTAGGAGTTCCCATAATGACGGCGCATTTCAGCAAGCTGGTAAACACCAAAGTGGTTATTATTGTTTCATCATTTCATTTGTTTTCTTTTCCTTTTTTTCAGAGCACAATTCACTGATGATTACTTAGATGATATACATAAAGGAAAAGTTCCCCAGATAGAGATTTAGATATGGACCTCAGTCAGGAGACTCCGCCTCGCCTTCACTGAAGACAACTCCCCCTCCTCCCCCATCGCTTCACGTGCAGGCAGCGACAAGACGGACACGGCAAATCTCCGTTAACGAGTTACTGCGCATCGCCCCATGCGTGGGGCTGGACGGCGTCAACGTGCTAACGAGCTAAACATGCTAACGAGCTAACCGCGCTAACGAGCTAACAGCGCTAACCCTAAAATCCTTTCATTCTCTCAAAAGTTGATAGCGCGCCTTATGTATGAATTCTGGTTGTGCTTGATGGCCGCGAACCGATTTTATGTGGTACACGGCGCTCAGCAATCTGTCAGAAATGTTTGAGTACGACTTTGCTAAGCTACGGAGCTGCACCGCTTGATAGATTGTCGGCGCATTACGGCTACCGAAGAGCTTCGCGGAGTGATACGTACTGTGCTTCAACGTAATATTACCGTATTGTGTGTGTATAAAGTACCATAAATGGCACCTGTAAGAGACGTGGTTATGAAGCAGGATTTCAAACTCCAGGCTATCAGTCACACAGTAAAACTTGGGAACAGAGCAGCTGTGAAATCTGTCTGTTTGTTATTACGCTCAGCGTCTTTTAGTTTACATTTTGACTGCACAATTGTGAGCTCTTTGTTTAGCACAAAAACAACCTTGTTTTCTTTTATTTATGGAGCATTATTATTTAATGAATGCTCATAATTTAATTTTGAGTAATTTTTCATGTACATCTGTGCTGTATGTTAATAAAAGTGCCTGTGTGACATCTGGGACACAGCTTTGACTAAGAACTCTCTTTTTGTTCTTACTTTATGGCTTAAAAAAAATATCGAGATATATATCTTATATCGCCATCCAGCTAAAAAATATCGAGATATGAATTTTGGGTCATATCGCCCAGCCCTAGTTGTAGCTACAGCTGCCCTGGGGCAGACTGACAGAAGCCAGGCTGCCATATCGCGCCATCGGCCCCTCTGGCCAACACCAGTAGGCGGTAGGTGAAGCGTCTTGCCCAGGGACACAACGACGAGACTGTCCGAGCCTTCCGGTTACAGGACGAACTGCCAACTCCTTGAGCCACGATCAACCAATTTGAAATTTAACAAAACAAACAAAACATTTATGGAAATATTTGTGGCTGTTTGTTGTTTGTTTTGTTCTACTTGAACACTGAAGTGGCCCTTACATGAGAGGAGGGTTCGGGTTAGCTCATCTAAGTGTGAGACCTGCCGTAGCCATCGGCTTTAAATTTTGACCTGTTGTCCATTCACAGCGGCTCTTCTGTGGTTCACTTACTGTTGATTTCCCATCAGTTCAAAGGAAAATGCAGACTTATGATTGGCTGTGAAATATTTGTGTTAATTATGTTATTAATTATGTTGTGTTAATATTTGCAGCTGAGACTGAATGCTTTATATGCTGCACTTTCTGAATCAGGGTAACTCGCTTCTTGGAAAAGCCACAGGAAGGGCAGACGGCGTCCCAGCTAGCCAGCGTGGTGTTCTACTGCATTCAGAGGGACACGCTGTCCTACATGTCGGACTTCCTGAGCCAGCAGCCTCAGACCGTGGGCAGGGCTTTTGGACAGTTCTGGGTTCGTAAAGCTAAAGCAGCTCACGTGCTTCTTTCCATGCAGGCAGCAATGTGCAGGAACAGTTTTGAACTCAACTGCCGTTTATTCTTGTTGCATTGTTGTATCTAAACCCATCAAATCCATCCAACTTTATAACAAGCTAAAAAAAAAGAAGACTGAAGACTTACTTTAATGGCTGTTTCTCCTCAGGAGTGGCTCATCAATGAGAAGCAGCGCCACGTGTTTGGTATGAAGCTTCCTACTGGCTTCCAGCTGATCGGACAAGTGGTTTGTATTCTTACCTCAGCTCGACACTTCCCTCTGCATCAATGCAAACAAGCTGGAGACGAGTGCTCAATTTATTTTATACTCGAGTTTGTCAGCAAATGAGGCCGTACCACGGAGAATCCTGGCTTCTGCATTAAGGCTGTTTGCAGTGAACAATCAAGATGAGTAAATACATTTAAGCTGCAATGTTGTGGCCAGAGGAACAAACAGTAACTCAGTCTCAGAGTCAGTTATCCTGCAGGTTCAAATGAATAAAGTTCAAATTTGGGCTGTTTTGAGATCAGTTTGGCAGTTTTTCAAACATGTAGATTTTATAGGTCATCAGAGAACATTACACACAATCAGACATAATGAACTTCACCTGCACAGTCAGCTGTGTTGAATCTTGGTCAGATAGCACTGAGTGTAGACTGAGGAGTGGGTGAGGTAGGTGAAGCTGAAGCCATCAGAAGCAGGTGATAGTAAGTGCCTGATGTGGAAGAACATGTTCAAACCAAGAGGCACAAGTTGCCTGCCTGCAGTCAATGTATCACCATGAGTAAAGCGTCTATAACCCTAACCCCTGAGTTACTGGTTCTGTTAGCGCTATGAGGATGTAACATCCTGGACAGGGAGGAACGCTGGTTTGAGCGCCGAGTCAAGGAGGCCATTTACATGAAAAAGGGAAAGACCGTCTCTGAATGGAGGAGGGGACCAGAGGGTACATCTGTCACCATCTTACAATGCTGTGATTGCCGCCATTCCCCAACTCTCTGTGAATGGGACTGATGGCCATTGATCAGTGGTTGTTGATCAATGGCCATGAGAATTTGTATAATTATGATGAAGGAACTGACCTCCCAGCCCATTGTTCCTCAGTGGGCTGGTTTCAGTCATTATGCAAATGTGCTGTTTATAAGATTGAAACCTGCAGTCAGCTGAGACTGAAGAAGTCACCTGGATGAGACACGAAACGTTTCTCCCACTGAAAACATCCATCCATCCATCGTCATCCGCTTTATCCGAGGCCGGGTCGCGGGGGCAGCAGCCTAAGCA